TTTGGGTCCCGCCCACTATTAAGTCGCTGGTACATCGTTGGACTCTTTGGTACATACTTGATTCGCTGGTGCATCGGTCGATTCGCTGGCGCTCGAATCCAGCGATCCGCTGATGAATCGCTCGATTCGCAAACCATGACATCGGCCATACATGGCTCCGCCGTGCCCGCCAGCAGAGCGCCAGAAGAGCGAAGAGGTGTCGTGCCGCGCACCGTGGCACCTCCAGTCCGACGGTTCACCGCGAGCGTACACTGTAAACGTTGGCTGATCAATCCCAATGGGTCGATTCTAGCAATTGGCCGATCTTTTCATGTTTCAAGATTGCAAGTCAGTCAAGTGACTAGAAAAGGGGGGCGCTCATCCAGTAAGGGGGGCATCAAGTGGCTGCCCTCACCCCCCCCCCTAGACTGCCTACACTCCCCCTGGCGCACAGGTTTCTCGAAGTACGGGACCCCGTGAGCCAGGGGGAGTGAAGCCAGTTCAGGGGGTGGGGGTGAGGGCAGCTATTAGACGTTGCATCACAATGCCCCCCCCCCTTACCGGATGAGCGCCGTATTGAACTTCCCAGCATCGGAACCTGTGGAGACTGCTTAATCGACTAAGCAGGGGGAACTTGAAAGAATAACTCAAAAATAAGTATCGCTTAACTCAGGGTGGGGGGGGGGGGCGACAAGCGGACGGCGCGGTGCGTTGGTTTCGATCTGGTCCTCTAGGTTCATTGAATCTTCTGATGCATGGTCCCGTCACGAACACTGCCACGTGCTACCGCCACGTGATGCCGTGTCAATTACGAAATATGGCGGTGTCCAGTCATGTCCACTTACATTTTTCTCCACTCCGTTTATTGTGTTTCTTCAGTATGGTGGTTACTTCAGCTAGTCTTATGGTGTCCCTCTTGCGAGTTGTGGCCCATCCAACAATGATGTGAAAAAAAACGGTGCAATTTTTCCTAGAGGGGTGCGGGGTGATGCATGCATGTCCGTGCCCTTCAGTACAGCGGGGATCCTGCGTCAGGGCAGGGCAAGCTTATTTGTGTTGCGACAAGTACCAACGGGGGGTCGTATTTTGTTGAGTTTGTAGGTGGGGGTGGGGGGTGTCGTATTCGATGTAATGTTAGAATTCATGGGTGAGTTTAGGGCGCGTAGTGTTCAAGGAGCGGGAAAATCTTGCCGTTTTTTGTATGTATATCCCCCCGGCTTTTTTGAAGGGCAAACTGCGTGAGGTTAGGTGTGTCGACTGATCTTAGAATCAGATACTAGAGAAGCGACGACTATGATGGCAAGGGTGGTGAAGGGGCTCGTGAATTTTTGATCGGAAGAAGGGGGTCGTAAAAATTTCGGGAAAGTCGCGACGTGTAGGACCGACCCTGGTCAGGAGAATGTGGGCATTTGAGGGGCGTTCTGTCTTCCTCTCAAAATAGTGTGACAAAAATTCCTTGTAGATTGCACTTGTCTCCATCACCTACTTCCAGCGCGATGACACACGTGGGTTGAAAGATCCGAAATGTGGGAGGGGGTGGCGCAGTTCGTCCGCAGCTCCACCCAACGGTGTTAAATGGGAAACGCGTGGACCAGGGGCCGTAAGGTATGCTCCCCGAACAGGAGAGGGACCACTCCCTGGTAAGATATGCTCTCCCCGAAAAGTCGGGGAGAGCACCTTACCAGGGAGGGATCCCTCTCCTGTTCAGGGAAGCATACCTAAGACCGCCGTCACACTCGGCTACGGACAAGCGATGGAGCGACGCGATCGCTCCATCGCTTGTCCGTCGCCGGTGTGAGAGGGCGGTCTCACGGCCCCAGGGGAAGTAAAGGCAATTTTAGGGGGTTAGGAGGGGGGGGGGGGGGGGGTGCGTGAGCCGATTCCATTGTGGCAAAAGTTTAAATGTGTGAAAGCGCCGCGCCGTCGAATGGCCCCTATTCGAGTTTCACCTGCTTACTTCCGTAATCCCTTTGAATTCCCCTTGTGTTTTCAACCAGAATCATCCTAAGATGGGTCCACGAGACATGCGGTCCCTAAGGTGAGGCAGGTCACTCGAAATGCGTGAAGTCGTGTCGTGGACCTCGGGATCCCGCAGCAAAAAGTTCAACGTCGCGAAAAGCGGAGAAGTTGCTTCCCGGCAGCTCTACCCGGCGAGTAAGCGGTAGGCGATAAGAGAAGGATACGTATTGATTTGTTAATGCGCCCATGGAGCGGCCGCCTAATCACCTCACTTATCATTAGTTACCTACTCTCTACTCCCCTAATCGATACTTATCCCTTCTTCATAGTCTAATCGCCTAAATGCCTAATCCCATATACGGTCGCCAACTCTGAACGCTGCCCTGGTTTGCATATTTCGAATTTACCTTTAAATTGCTTCTGTTTGAAATGTTTCCAGCATCGTGTAGCAGTTTATTTCTGTGCAGAATACTTTGCTTTTTTTACACTAACAAGTAATCTAACTGATTGCAGATGACATCGAAAAAGACTGCAGAAAACGCAGTGGCTGAAAAGGCTGAGAGGATTTACAGAGTTCAGACGAAGGAGCAAGATATTTGCGAGGTGCCCGCGTCTGTAATCAGCATGTCCAAGTTGATCACAACTATGCTCGAGGTTTGTGTTGATTTCCGTAGATCTAGTATTGTTTCGGAACATGGTGTTCAGGATTTGAATCTGCAAGACGATGACACTCCCATACCAATACCGAATGTCACAGCACCAGTTTTCAAAAAGGTATTTCATTTTTTGCCAGGTTACTGTTCTCAATACTAATAACGTCTTAGGCTGGTGTCAGAGTTCGCGCGAATCGCAAAAACCGCAAGTGTCTCATTTGAATTGAAACACTGAACATCAAAGAAAGAAGATCGTCATTCAACCATCACCATCAACCGGGAATGGCGGCGGGACAATCATGATACTGTAACCTATCGCGCCATCTCGCGACGGATCGCAGACTCTGGCATCAGCCTTACTCATTCCTGCTTTGAGAGGAGCAAGTTGTGTACATTATTGACTCAGGCAGCCGTCGCAGTTCAGTCGCACCTATTCATACTCGGTTGTGCGATCGTGTGATCAAGTAATGTGGTGAGTTAGGAATGTACTACCAATACGATCGCACCATCCAACCAGTCAGACGATCGATGTGTGTTTCCCCACACTTGATTGTGCGATCGAACGATCGGTCAGATTAACCTATGGTTCAGTTTACGGACTGCTTGAATTCCTGCCATCCTGCCACGAAGGCTAGAGCACACACGATTAGAGAACAGCAGCCTCGACTCATACTCCAATCTAGTTGTAGAATTGAATGAGCCTTGAAGATAAGCCTTCGAGGGAAGATGGGGGGGGGGGACTTGGGGGGGGGGAGCAGTTGTATTGCGCTAACAGTTTGGATGTGTGAGATCACAGTAGTTATGAGCCGCTGTTTAGGCGAGAGAGCGCAGGTAGGAGTGACAGCAAGCAGCGCGTTGCGCCGAGGCTTGGACGAAGGGTGGGTGCGATTACGGCTTGGGCACGAAACGTTCGAGCGGTCCGTTGACGCCACAGTTCTTGTAGCCGTAAAGGGGCCACGACATCACCGCTTCTGCCTTTCTACCAATTTGGGACGGAGCAGGTCAATATGCCTAATCCGGGCCGTTCCTTATAGCAACAAACCCAGCAGAGTTTTTACCATCGACAATAATGGTGTGGAACAATGCGCTAGCCCTTGTCAAGAGCAACAACCGTTGCTCGCTTATGATAGTTCTTTCCTTCTCTGTGCGTTCGTACGTTTCCCCATCCGCCAACCCTTCACTCCTCCCTTCTTCGCCACATCCCCTCTCTTCATACGTGCGCATCTCCTTCCACTCCTTCCCTTTTTCGCCAAGCGCTCTGTCCGCCCCGCCCCCATCCCGTCCCGCCAATGATCCGCTCGCGGGCTCACTATCCCTCTAATTTCTCTCATGCGCCCCCCCTGCCGCGCCCCATGCCCTCGCTCCCGTCCTTACCCCTTACCGCCTCTCTCGCCCGAAGTCATTGCACTGTCCATTCATATACATCCCTCCTATCCCTATGTCCCTCTTTCTTCCCTATGGCCCTCTCATCGCTGTTCCAGCCCTGCGTTTCTTACCGTCCCACTGTTACCCGACCACGTTCCGCACTAACTTTAGTCTCTTCTCATCTCCTTGGCCTTACTACCATCGTCTGCGCCTTAGCCATGTTCATTCCCCTCTCTTCCAACCGGACCGCTCCCTATCGGACCCTTCACCGTCTCGACTCCTTTCCAGTCGGCCCCTCTCCGCTCCTCCCCTATTTTCATCCCCCTTCTCCAATCCATTCTGACCTTTGCTCCAATCTGTTCATCGCGAGCGGCCACCCCTACCCTTTTCAGTCTCTCCCAGACCCCCTACTTACCACAGTTCCCCTTCACTTCCAATTTCTACAGTCCTTACTTCTCCGTGCCTTGCCACCTGCTCCACTTTCCCTCTGCCGTTTTCCTCTTTTCCCTACCCCTCTCGCTTCTCGCGCTCGAGCACGATCACCCCCTACTGAAGCCCGGTGCCCGCTTGCCTGCCCGCCTCACTTCACCCAACCTTCGCTTACGACCTCGTCTGTCTATCGTCTCCTTCATTCTTCTCTCCCAGTCTGGTTCACTTGCGCTTCTTCTGTGTCTCCTTATATACGTCTCTCAGACATCGCTCCTACTATCATGCGTCATCCTAGCGGCACTCTTCCCCCCCCCTCGTTCCTAATACTGCTTGTCTCTCCTTTGCCCCTTTGATTCATTGACAACTCTCATGATCTTCCGCGGTCCCAGCGCTGTGTCGCTCAGCTCACCTCTCAATCTCGCCCCTCCCATTAGCTTCCTGAATCGCATGTTTTGACCGCTAGACCCTGTCAGATACTTCCATCCTGTTTCGCCACATTAATAAGTTTTTTAAAACAACAAAAAACTGAACTACTAGAAAGCGCCTAGTAAAGGCGGAAGCTGAACCGGCGTCAATTGGCGTTGCGATTCTGCATTACGATGGGACTGCACAGAACGGGCAGATTCAACCACGGCCCACTTCAAGCGCATCAATGCCCTTACTAGCGGCTTTCTGTGTTTAGTTTTTGTTGATTCAGTCGACGGAATTCTTGGCCGGTTTGTTTGACTTAGGGGGGGCTAGCGGCATTGTTCCACACCATTAGTGCCGAACTCGAAAACCCTGCTGGGAGTTGCTTTAAGGAAGCACTCTCAAGATCGCCTCGGTAAAAAACTGTGAAAGTTGTGCAGAGAATATGGCCATCATTAGCACCAGAACGTTATCTGGATTGATGTATCTCTAAAAATCTAGAACCTGTGCGAAAATTAATTCTAGGTGTCGTCTAGCATCGGGTGACATTGTCGCCAGTGTGTCAATATCAAATTTTTATGTTGATGTCTTTGATTCGACTGGAATCGCGTGCAACTGTCTCCGACCGGTTGTGTGTCCCCGGCTGGATACTACTGCTGTAGACATCCTTTGTTGAATAAACCTTATTCTATTTGGTTCAGGTGGTAACGTGGTGTGAGAAGCACAAAACAAACGGAAAAGAAGATAAGAAGCTTGAGGAATGGTCTGAAGAGTTCTTCAAAGTTGAATATCCTATGCTTTTTGAAATCATTATGGTATGTTCAGGCATTAATAATGTGAGTTACATTGCAGTAACAGTTCAATCTTTCTGTTATTAGTCTTCAAGGCCGTAACTAATCTGGGGAACCATTCCCCACATTGCTCGGAGAACCGGATGGTTTATGGCGGAAAGATTCAGGGGCCCAAGTATTTGATAAAGGGGTAGTTGCAAGGCAAGCTTCGAAAACATGGGATGGTCGGGGGAAAAGTGGTAGCCGCCAGGGGATTGGGCTTATTAATTTTCATTCATACTATTTTTTCAGCGGACAAGCTAGCTTGAAAGCTACAATTCAGATGATCGGAGGGCTTGTCATCTTGTCCATAACGGTATGGGGGGCTATGTAATATATCTCTTTATCTTTCGGATGATACGTCCCCCTTGCCGATGGCATTCCTTGTTCCAGCCCGTGGTGAGAGATGCTCTGGGATCTGCTACCAACCGATGGCTACTGTAGCGACCTTGACGTTAAAGCAAGCCCTTTATCTCTAAGCGCTTAGCGCTGCCCCTATTGCCGGCAAAAAGGAAACGCAGAGGTGTGGCGGATCCTATCATAACGCAATACTGCCTTCCCAGCCCTACAAGCTCGCGAGGCGCGATGACGACGCTCTCTTAAGTACATAAAGCTCACTGGGGCGAGAGTCAATCGTCTATGAAGCTGTTGCCGGAATATGTTCGCTTAGAGAGACATTTTTACTAACATTCGCGTGTGGCTGGGGTCATTAAGTTCATTAATAAGCAGGTATGTGGAAATAACATTGTGTAGAAATACCACAAGTCGGTTGATTCTCGCAAAAAGAAAAGAAACACTGAAGAAATGTGGGAAGGGTCGGCGGGGACCCTGTCAACGAGCGCGAAGGGAGGCTGAGATAGAGAGCATAACGGCAGAGGGTTGCAGGAACCCACCTGCATACAGTAAGATGTGAAGCACGTTTTCAGCGCCTCGTGTTTCTCCCATGCGCTTATGATTGCAAAATTTT